CACACACACACACACACATCCAGTTTAAAGGGATATTCACAAATTAGCATTAAGCTTCGTGTTATTAGAAACCCGGTAGTATTTTCGAATTACCATGCTTCCCCCCCTCATGTTCCCCTGAGATAAGAGATTTATGTATTGTGTGCCTGCAAAAACTCAGATGACTCAAAAATCGTCATTCATCATCAGAGGCTTTTTTGTCCCGAGCCCAGAGACTATGCGAGTGCCAAATGCCGCATGTTCTGCATAGGTTGGGCTGTACATCCTGGTACAAAGCAATTTAGCACCATTTAAATGGGAAAAAACGCTAGTATTTATATTAATTTATCAACTAACTCGTCACAAGACTCACCATAAAACAGCGTCTTTTCAGTTTCATGTGGTAGCTTAGTGTATCATTTCTTACCGGTAGGCGTGGCTTGGGAGTACATCATGCACTCTCTCTCTCTCTCTCTGTCTCTCTCTAGCTGCTTCCTTATATACACTAACAGTTTATGTATAATAATATATTTATTTTTGCTTGCAATTTGCACCTTCAACATTTCTTCAGCCTCGAATGAACAACATTTGAATTCTTGTAAAATAGTTGATATGCCACTGGAAGTTAGTTGATTTCCTGTGCCAAATTACAATAATGCTGTTCATAAACCGTTAGCAAACAAAATTGCATTCAGTATAAACCACACAGCTGCCTGATAGATGCCTGTGCCATTGCACAGGTGCTATCAAATATTTTGTGGTGATACCATTTTAAAGTCATATCTACATTGTCCTACATTATTATTTAAAAAACAAATTGTATTTTTGCAATGCAACATCTAAAGTACTGTTACAACCTACAATTTCATATCAAGAAAGGTTAAATTTGGTATTGCTTTGTAAAATATGATCCATCCTTTGCTACTGAACAAGGTGTGAAAAGCATTCATGTATTTTTAAGTATTTGATTTTTAACATTGTTGTTGCGCCACTTTTTTCAGCACAGAACACATAATAAACTGTTTATTTATAAAACTTTCTTTATTTGTACAATTTTACTTGCTGTGTGTATTTTGTATTTTGTAATATTTTACAATCAAGGTCAGACTGGAAAAATCAGATATATTAATATGACTGATATCATAATGATCGCTTATGTTATCGATTTGTTTTTTTTATCAGGAAAATTGAATATTTTATAATATTAATATTTAAAATGTGTTTAGAGTGTAAATTTGTACAAAAACCAAAATGCCAAAGATCTCTGACAAATGAATTTAACATGTTTGTGATACACTTTATTAAGTTTATTATTATTATTGTTTTAAGCTGTACTTGACAAATGTGAAATTTTGTAAAAGAGATGTGTCAAGAACTTGATATTGTATATTGTAATTTTTGAAAATTCAATAAATTGTTTTAAAAAACGAATAAACTGATCACGTGATGTCGAACAGATTTGTCATCATCATCATCATCATCATCACACGGAGGATTGAGCTCCTCTTCTGGGAGTGCAACATCTGATGTGATCCAGCAGAAAGACGATAGTCGCGATCGCCACCAGACCAGACAGAACCAGTCTGACCAGAACCTCAGTCTCACCACAACTCCCCACAGGGTCTGCAGGATCCAGGAGCACAAACACACAGGCAAGTTGTTATTCATAAACCTAGCTCACATAACTACTTTTGTATCTGTGGGAACACAAGCAAACGTCTTTGTGTCATTGTACCTTGATGATTAGGGAACAGCTTGTTTGTGTTTGGACGGGTGGCGCTGTTGCTCGCGTGTGATCCCCGTGATGTACCTGTGGACAGTTAGAGTTTGTAAAGTTAAAATTATTCGAGTGAGTGTTTTAAAAGTACTGGCAGTCTGTTAGTGATGATTGGTGACGCTTTCGAAACACTGCTTAATAGAGAAAAGGATCTTTTGTTTTGATTCAGTGATTCGGAGCTTCAATCTCGCAAAGTCAGGTGATTTCAGCTAACGATGCTTTGTTTTTTGTTTTTTCCCCAAACGAGGCTTTGTTACGCCATGTTTCGAACGCTGATCTGTGTCATTAGATCAGTGATTTCGAACCATTGTAAAATTCTAATGACTTGATTCTAGATGACGTTGATCTGGTGAAATTATGAATTAATAATTTTTTGTAATTAATACTAACAAAAAAAGAAACTGATTGTCAAGCCCTGACTAATAACACAAATCAAGAACTACAAATTCATTATTTAATATATACAATTTTTAATGGTATTTATGTGTATATTACATCTAATAGCATGTGCAATTGGTTTATAAAAGTGCCAAATACTCATTACACATGTTTGTACTGAGTTTCGTTGCATTTACACTGTTTGACCACCAGGCGCCGCCAAAATCCTTGTTTTCCATCACCATCACTAATCATAACTAGGTGCAACCTGTTGCGTGTTATTAGTAATTTTTCTGTCTTCATTGAAAGCCAGACAAATCACAGGATATTAAATGTTTAATGTTTTTTTTTTCTTTGTATATTTAACTTATGTTTCTAGTCTTATTGTGATTCACCAGTGCAGGATATTTTAAAGAAAATGTTTTACACTTTCACTCATGCCTTTAATATCAGATATCATGAGGACAATTTCAGATGATATTTGTATGGTCATAACACAAAGACAGATATAAACAGAGACTCACCTGTAGATACAGTAACTGCTGAGCTCCTGACGGCAGGAACGGTGACGGTCGCTTTAGGACGAGAGGACGCATGTACATATATCACTTTACACTGAAATATATATCATGACACCATTTGAGATCCTATTATCAGTTATTATCATGAATCTTATTGCTTTGATCCCATATTGTGTTATTTTTCCATATTGACTGCTTACCATAAACTTCCACTTCGTATTTATTCACTGTGACCTTTTTATTAACAATGATTACTGCTTTATACAGTCCAGATTCATTAGTCCTGATGTCTGCGATGGTTAAAATGCCTGTTTCTCGGTCTAACTGTACTCTGCCAGTGAGTCTCTTGTCATAATGTGTGTATATTTTCCCTTGATGCATCTGTGCGACACGAGTACTTTGACTGTCACTTTCAAACGTCCACAGTATCTGAACGTCTCCTTTTACATCATGAAGTCCTGGATGCAGATTGAGGAAATCTCCCTCCTTCACTTTAACTGTTTCAATGGCTTCAACCTTTCCTCCCACTGAAACAACATGAAAACAAGTTTAAAGGGATAGTTCAGTTTGAAATTAATTTTTGGTATGTTTTATCTTACCTCAAGGGCATCCAAGATGTAGGTGTGTTTGTTTACACAGTATTTTCAATTTTAATATTTTTAGGTCAAATCGTTCTTGTCTGTTAGTCATATAATGGAGGCCTATGGTCACCACCTCAAAGAGCATGACCTAAAAATATCAAAACTGAAACTACTGCGGAAACAAAGACACCTACATCTTGGATGCACTCGAGGTAAGATAAAACATACCAAAAATTAATTTCAAACTGAACTATCCCTTTAATATACAGGTGAACAAACAAAAGAATATCCTATAATAAGATCTGTTGCTTCCAAGTTCCAACAAATGGTCGGGTAACTTTATAAGAAAAGATCTTGATCGTTAGAATGCCACATATAATATGTAAAAAACGATAACCATTCTGTTAATGTTAAATGTATGTGTTTAGAAAGTGAAAGCTTTTTTTTTTTTTTTTTGGTGACTGTCAGTGCATTGGGTGTAAAATATAATAAAATATCTATCAGAGGTTCAATAAGATCTGTTTCTAAGGATTTTAAACAAAACATTTAACAAACAATACAACGTTTAATGCTGTGAGAAATATATAGATAACCCCACCACTAAACACCAAGTACACTGTAAAAAATGATATCAAAAGTTATGACAAATATGTTTTTATATTGCATTTTAACCCAGCAAAATAATTTTTTTTTATTTTTTTTTTTTATATTTTTATAAGATTTAACAGATTTTTAAGTCAGTTTTAATGTAATTTAAGTTGAAATGACTTAAACATTGTGCAGTTGATGTTACTTAAATTTAAGGCAGCAACTTTTTTGTTTTGTTTTACAGTGTAAAAATAACTTAATAATTGCTTTACACATCAGATGGCCATTTCATCAGTGGACAGTTCTTGGCAATACACTGAATTATGGACCAGACCTTTTGCTGTAGTCGTAGACTATAAGAAAGTGAGATCACATTACATAATTCTTGCAGCATTGCAACACTAGTGTTATAGCAGCCAGTGTTTGCGGTCTGACTGAGAGCGAGTGGAAAGGAAGTTGGTCATTTTAAGGGTATAAACAATTGTGGATGGAAATTACCTGCAACCAGCCAGTGAGTGTTTCTTTGAAATTGAATTATGGCATGACACATTTTCTGCTAAACTCACAGTAGTCATGTCAGATGTTTGCTCGCTTCTACCCGTGTGTCCATATAACTTAGTTTTATCTGACATTTAATGTGAGAATTGTTTTCTTGAGAAAAAAAAAAATCACAGCATATGCCATAAGTTAATAAAAATATGTTCCAATAAGTTTCTAGATGAGGGATACTAAAATAAATTAGAAAAGCATTATAAAATAAAATAAAGAGACCTCACCCTGTTGCACACTGACCAAGACAAGAGCCAGAACACTGATGGACATCTTCAAGGAGAATCAAGTATATTCAATATGTTGCGATTGGAGCTCGTGATGCACTTTCTGTAAAGATATTCTCTCTCGATCATCAAGAGGAAGTGAGTCAGTCAAGTATCGCAGTCATGAGATGTACGAGTGTTTTTATGAAACTTTACTCTCAAAATAACGTCCAGTTTTACACCGATGGCCATCGTGCTGAGAGAAGAGCTTCACCAAGACAGATGTTCAGAGTTCAGATTCATAGTCCTGATGTCTGTGATGGTTAACATTTCCATTTCTTGGTCCAGGTAATAATGCATGTCATTTCTCCATAGATGCATCTGTGCAACACGAGTACTTTGTCTAAAAGTCCACAGTGTCTGAACGTCTCATGATCATCGACTGAATGCAGCTTCAGGAAACCTCCTTCACTTCAACATCATCCACACCTCCACCCACTGAAACAGGTTATACGCATGTAAACACACCCTGGTTATAGCAGTTACTTCCATCAGTTAACACATCATACGAGACCTATAGCGTTAGACGTAATAATCAACCTATAGCGTTATCGTAATAGTCAAGTGAATATATTAACCCATCAACTAGTTTTCAGGTCATCTAATGGCAACTGAACGCACTACCAGAATTGTTAGTTTTCAATTAAATAAACCTTGTTTTTCTCATCTCAAGTGGACCTTTATTAATGTAGAGTGGGTTATATATATATGAGTTAATGTATACTGTGAATAAAGCAATGGCATTGCATGTCTGTATTGCAACACTATCGCTCTGAGATTTGACAGCATGATCTAAAGAGGTATAACGGAAGTTGATGTTTTTTTGTGGTTTCAAAAAGTGTTGTACTGTATTTGCCCTTGACCAGAAGTTCCTTTAAACTTTAAAGAGTGAAATCATAAAATATGGCACTTTTTAGTTGAACATATAAACCAATGTTTTTGCAGGAAATTAATTTAAATTAAATATTAATTGATACAAATATTTTCTTTTTGTTTCTAATGTGAGCTGTGTGTGAACATGAAGACACACCGTTCAGTTCTACGGGCAGGAAATTGTCACTATTTCCACTCTTTTTTTTACTGCAAATTTTAATTTTTGGGGTGAACGATCCCTTATGAATGTAAAAATGTCACCAAAACATATATAATGAAAAGAAATAAATATGACAACATATTTAATATTATTAATAAAACAAATGTAATATTTTCTAATTGTATTTAATAAGCTATTATAATTTTCACAAACTGTATACTTTTGTGCCAACTTTTTGATGGGTGGCATTTTTACCTTTATAAATATTTTATGTCAAATTCTTGAATTTAATCAATAAACTATTAGAAATATGAAATAATGAAAATTCAACTAAAAACGCCAATAGGTGGCGGCAAATCCCTTTTTTATTCAACCAATTGGTTCAAAACAGCTTGTAGATTCAGGTGTAAAAGTTTGGTCTCACACACACAGACACTAGTTCCTGTATTTCTGCGTCAGAAGCATCTCAGACCTTTAAATCTGCATCTGTCTCGTCCTTCACACGCCAGAAACTCAGAATCCTGTATCTGTCACAATATAAATATCAATATCTGTCAGTGTTTGAAACACTGTGTTTCCACTCCCTCAGGTCGGAGAGTCAGAACTTGGTGTGTCAGTTACGGTTTCAGAAGGATAATACGGTGTAATTCTGTTAAAGGAACACGCCGACATTTTGTGCCTTAGCTTATTCACCGTATCCCCCAGAATTAGAAGTCCATACACTTTTCACAGGGACGTGCGGTCAGGGAAGGCAGTGCCTCACCAAAGGAAATGTTGACATTACATTTATTAATTCCAAGAGCTTTATTAATTCACCAAATTAATAATTGCATTTATTTTATTCCAAATATTAATTTTTGTAAAAAAAAATAAAAAAAAATAAATAATCAGGAATTCACATTATAATACTCCTTTTGCCATTGTTTGCTCCTAAAAACCATTGTTGCATGCAGGAAATTCAAGGCAATGGCCCTTGAGCCAGAGTTTAGCAGCATAGCCTATTTATGGTTAGAAAATAAGAAATATCTATAAATCACTTTTTATGCATGTAATAGTGCATGTAACAGGTGTTTTTGCTACTAGCTTGTTAAAGGAGTCCTCATATTGTCGTCTCAGTATGGCATACAAATTAATAAGATTAAACAATCTAAAATACACGATATAAACAAATAATTGATCATGTTGTTCACTTGTGAGTACAACGTTTGACTTGTTTAAATTATGCTAGCGCTATGCTAAGTTCATTCCACAAATTAAGTAAAAACATACGCAACATAAGAGAATAACAGAACGGATAGCTAACATTCTATTACCACTGAGATGGAAAACGGCACATATACCGGAAAAAAGCGGTCTAAACCGGCCATAAAACAAACATTTTGCTATTGCTAGAAAACTTTCTAGAACTTTCTTACCATACCTGTACACGGGAATGTACGCACACCTAAATGTGATTGGCTGAAACTGATACCCCCCCCCCCCCCTCCCTCCCTCCCTCCCTCCCTCCCTCCCTCAAATCCTGAGCGATAACAGATAACCTAAGCAATAGAAGAAACCATTCCCCGTATATTATTATACCGGAGAAGACAAGCAAAGCTCTCTAAAAATGAGTGGCTTCTTCGCGAGACTAGGCCTAATAACCCTTTTAATCGCAGGTAAGTAACTGCAGTTCTCGGATATTTAAACATCAAATGATTTTATAATGTAAAAAACGTGACTTCTATACAGTGACTTACACAAATTCATTTGTTTCTAATCAGGTGCGGTGAGTGTCCACGTCCATGAGACAGACCGGGTAAAAAAAGGACAGAAATGGTTCCTAGTCGAAAATAAATCCGAGTCGGAGCACATCAGTCTAAGCAAGTTAGAACTATATGAAGCAAATGCAGATTGCAAGCCACTATCTGAGATCCTCAGATACTGTTCCCTTGAAGAGCAGTCGTATGGATGTGTTTACAAGAATGGCTCGACTTTCCTTTTGGAGTTTGAGAAGAGCGGTGTCTCTTTAACTCCTCTTCTTAATGCCACTGACGGATGCTACGTTGCCATCTACATATTCAGCAACAACTCCAAAGTTAAAAAAAAATTCCAAGTAGGCCTAAACGGTAAGTATTATTATCTGTCTAAAGTTATGTTGAAATGGTTTGTTTTGCGTGTCGAGGGTGAATTAAAAACTACATATTTGTTTGGTGCTACTTGCGTGAAACCACAATAAAATAGATCCCATCCCAATTAAAGTTTTTCCGCGAGCAGCTCTCTGCTTCCAATGCGCGTTCGTGAGACATCAAACAGAGATTTTTTTTTATAAAGCTCCTTATCAGCCCGAAATGTTTTGGCGTGTTAAAAAATAAGAATTTATGCTGTCGCTGTCAATTATGTTTACACACTGCCTCAGAAACTATCGTCCGAAATAAAACAACACTACGGAATGAGTTCCATTTCCTGCGTTTTTCGCGTCAGTAGCAAGTCTTTTGACAATTCCAGAATGGGGTCTGACAGGTTGATCCGGTGTTCTGACGATTCATGCTACCCATATTAGACATTAGGCTTGTTTGAGATGCGCCTCGCCTCGCCTGCAATGTAGTCGAGAGTAGGCGGCTGCAGTTAGAGGAGGAGTGAAAAAAGCGTAGTCAAGCCGGACAGATCTCGGTTCTCGCAGTGGGTCTGACACCTGTGAGATCAAAGACTGATATCGCGGGATTCACGGGATTCACGCTCGTGCACGTGTTGCTAATTCTCATTGTCCAAAAGGTTTTTTGTAATTTTTCTTTATCATATAAACACATTCTTTTTGGATTCTATGTCAAAGACAACATTTTAATTAATGCATGTTTTTGTATAAACCTTCTTTTATATATTGGAAAATTTCATATCCATAAAGCTAAATATTTGAACAGTAAACCCCACTTTAGCTTTTTCAAAGAAGAATTGAAGATGTATTTAAATGCAATTTCAACATCTCTCAATAAGAAAGCAATGAAAACATCCAGAATTTGTACCATGTTTAATATTCTTCCTTAATGTTTTATTTTTTTCTTGTATGCCCTCATCTCTCTTTCCTTCTCTCTTTTTTTTCTTTAAGACTAATGTAAAATAGTGTTATTTCTTTTCATATCTCCTCTCTTAATGTATTTGGTATCATAATGTCTCCTTGTTTTGATAGATTGTTTACTACCTGTATGTCTTGACTTGCATTAATAATAAATAAATAAATAAACTGGATGTAATTTTAAGTTCTGATGCTTTTATATGAAAATAAATATAACGAACAAGACACCCAAAATACTTGTTATTTAATTACATTCCAAATGTGTTTATCAATATTTTTTTCTTTAATACAGACATGTGTTTTTATATATTGTTTTAATAAAAATATCATGTGCATAAAAATATCATATGTGACATCACATAATAACCCATATGGCACGGTCAGAGAGTTTATTCACCCATAACAAATATGTATACACATAAAACATGATATCAGAGTTTTAAAATCAAACATGTTAAAAGAGAAAAATACATCACGGTTGTTTAAACCAATGAGCATTAAGCGGTTTCCCATCATGCTTTTGATCAGCGCAGTCGGTGGAGAGCAACTGCGCGCGACTGCAGAATCCGACAGGTGCGCCTTGCGCTCGCGGGAGTTTTTTGACATACGTCGACATGACATCAGAGCCAGGCGGACCGTTCTCGGACACATTTCTAACCGGCATGCATCTCGCGCTGATCACCGCCGGTGATCGGTTCTGCGCAGATTTTGCTCATCTCAAACAAGCCTATTCTCTGATGCTATCAAGATTTACTACTTAGGCTGTTATGCGCATGTGCAGACTCAGTTTTTTTTTAACAAAAGGTAGGCCTACATTTTCCTGTGTTATAATGTAATTTCCCTTTAAAAAAAATGCTAACTACTATATGAATATTTGTACGGTCAGCCAGCTGAACAAGAATAACAAGTCAAAGATGAATATTTGATGATAATTTTTACTTTTCACACAGTTTTAAAAATAAAAACAGTACTCATAACTTAGAATTGTATTATAATTGTATTTTATATAATATTATTAATCGACATTCTGTGATCGATTTGTGCATAGCATTTTTTTGACAAGGCACAAACCTTCAGAACACCGTACCAACTGACTTTCATGTTGTATTAATGTTTCAATCATAGACCACCCCGTTATATACGATATATAAAAACATGCCAAAATCAAATTGTTTTTTGTAAACTCCACCATATTCTAGTCTACGTGTCCCTAAGTACCACTGTGGTAATTTTCATGTGGTTTTACTGTTTCTTTCTTTAATAATTATATGCCAAAGACTCGCACTTTGAAAGGTTTTGATCCACTTCACATGTTGTCTACTGTAGCCTATAGTTTTAAAACTTAAATTTGGATATGAGCTGTCAGCGGTCTCCCTGAGGTTTACATTATTGTCAGTTTACTGTTAGGGATTAGTTTATAGCAAAATAACTACACTCTATGAAATCTATGCTTTTATGTCTGAAAACATTATTTTTTTCTTGTATATCATTTGACACTCAAATTAAGTGTCCGCTTTAAGTGTGCATAAGGGACATATGGACTACTGTTCTAAGTAACAAAATAATATTTTTTGACAGTTTTACTGTGAATCAAATGGTCTTGTGATGCTGAATTCTGTGAGATTCAGGTAAGAATGCAGATATTCTGCTTCTACACTGATTTTTGTGAGGGAAAGAACTACACCTTCTTTCCTGCCTTGATATACATTTACTTTTTCACTGCGCTCGGTCTCCCTGTCATATCGCCCAGCCTTGTGCCCTTTAACTGCCTAGCATCTTCCCAAAATTAGCAACTAGCTTGCAAAGTTTTCCAAATACCAATGTTTTAGGAACCTATCTGTTTTAAGGTTTGTCTTGAAGAACTTCATTTCTCTTATCTGGTTGTTTTTGTTATTGTTGTCCTATAGCCAAAGGAGAACTGCCCCGTACCGTCAGCAAAGATGGCAAGCTATTGGCCGTAATCGGAGTGTGCATTGGAGTGGTCGTGGTGGGCATTACACTGTCAATTATTTCCTGCTTGTGTCGAAAGGCAAGTATAATCAGAGGAAAATGTAGCAACACTTCTGTTTTTTGTAGCCTCATTGACAGCAGTGTTCAGTGAAGACCATGTATTCTCGGTTTTATTTTTTATTGAGAATGAGGAGTCACGTGCCGATTTGGGCGGGGTCTGAGCCGGTCTGCCATGATGGCAGGAGACGCTATCGGTTACCAGCGGCAACCATAGACAGTAACGCCTTTAGGACCTGTCAACGCGACTAAACATTCCAGAGCTCTTTAATTTTCGTGCATTTATTATTTTCACGCATTTATTATTTTGGCAGGACAGAGACGGATCTAAGAATACGAGAAAAAAATTAAGAGAGTAAAGCAATGCAAAAAGATAAGGTGAAAGAAAAGGGACCTTACAGGAACAATCTCACACAACACGCAAAACAGCTGTATTTGGAGAAGCAGCATCAATATATTTGTTCTTTTGCACTAATAACAATATTATTATTTTATTATTATTACTTATGTTGTCCATGAAACTTATATTGTCCAAATAAACATATAGCCTATATATTTCAGTTCTCAATAAATATTGTTAAGCCATATCAAGTTGTTTCAAACATTTATTTCAAAGAAATAAAAAAGTAATGAACAAGGCACTCAAACAACACTTTTGCATATGTTCGTTAAGGCGCAGCAAACAGTAAAAATCGTCTACTAAAGGCATCAGCAAACCATGCAATCCGCGTCTCCTCGTCAGATCAGACTCTCCCTGCTGTGTCCATTTCGGTAACCCCAAAAACTGTATTCCATTGTTCCGATGTTTTCCATATGTATCGTGTGAGTTACTGGAGTAGTTTTTAACGCAGCAGTTACTTCCAGGCATGGTAAAACAGTGCGGTATTGCGAGAAACTCCTCTACTACCAAGCTAAAAACACACGCAAACAATACTGTTTTGCCGTGGGAATCTTACCAACATCCTACCAACTCTGTACAATGACGATAACTCCTCATTTTCAATAGGAATTTGTACAAGTATTTGTAAAAGAGATATTTTGCTCAGAAAGGATTTCATTTAAAGCCGTAGTAGATCATTAATATGTCATTCATTAGGTACATTGATTCATTAATTACATTTATTGATTTATAAAGCTTGTTTTGTTTATCTTGGAATTAACTTTGGTATTCATTGAATTGACTGTGATTTAAACGTTCTCCTCTCCCTACAGAAGAAGAAAAATCGTGACTCCAAAAAAGATCGTAAAAATTCTGTTAGAAAAGGAAACAATGAAGGTGAGTTCTCAAGATGACGGGTTTGTATCATGAAAAAATATCATGAAGTTTCTTATTGATTTGACATTTTACAAACTGCACTGTTATTGACTTTGTCATTTCCTGTTTTACGGCTTTCTTCTCATTTGACAACAAAAAATCTTCCTGCTCGCTGCTTTCTTTATATTAAAGAAATTTAGCATATTGCCAAGCATATTGATCTCCGCTGTTTGTCCTTTTATTCATTTTCATGTCCTGATCATGACATTTTCTGCATTTCATTTTCGTTTTTAGCAGTTTCCTTTACTCTAAAATAATTTATATATTTATATTTTCATTATAGAGCTGGGTTTATTAATAAGCTTCTTTAGCCTGGTTAATCTGATCATTTTTTAAATTAAAGGGATACTCCACTTTTTTTGGAAAGAGGCTCATTTTACAACTCCCCCAGAGTTAAACAGTTGAGTTTAACCGTTTTCGAATCCATTCAGCCGATTTTCTGATATTTAGAAGAATATCAGTAACCAGACAGTTTCTGGTCTCATTGACTTCCATAGGAAAAAAATATACTATGTATATACTAAAAATATACTACTATATACTCACATTTATTATGTGAGTTTAGCTTTGTGTTTTCCTGAATAACATGTGATGAAAGCTGTGAGCTGTATGTACTATGTATTTGTATCCATTTTGACAGCAAAAGGGGACAAAGGTTCCAGCCAGACGAGTCCCTTGTCTTTAAAATCCTCTTGTTGCATCTCAGTTGACTCTTCCCCTTCATCCTCATCAGAGGGGGACAAGAAGAAGAGGACGATGAAAAGGAAGGGGAAAGGGAAAAAGTAGTCAAACAAAATGGAAACAAAGATAGGTTAGAATGCTTTTTTCACTCTTTCCACTCACTGCTGGGTTTTTAGTTTGCCACTGCTTGTCACACTGTGTGTGTGTGTGTGTGTGTGTGTGTGTGTGTGTGTGTGTGTGTGTGTGTGTGTGTGTGTGTGTGTGTGTGTGTGTGTGTGTGTGTGTGTGTGTGTGTACCATAAAAATTGCATTGGAGATTTAGAGGAATAACCTTGTAGACCATCTACTTCATCTTCAACACTTTTTTAGAATGTTTTGTTAAATCCATGTAAAAAAAACAAGTGTGACATAACAAGTTGCATTTATTGCATTAAATCATTAAATCAAGTTCATAGGCTACCAGTTACTTAACTCTGGAAGAAGTTAGAGCAACTACCCTTAAGAGAAATATTCTTTGGTTAGCTAAAAAAAAATAATCAGATCCTCATTGCAAAATATTAAAGCAAATAAAAAATATATATTTGCACACGACTGTATAATGAAAAACTCTGAATTCAGAGGTGTAACAAGGTTCAGGGAAGAAGGAGGCAGGAACCGGATAATAATAATAAAATAAAACTTTATTTAAATAAAATAAACAAACAAATTACCTGCCAGCAGCCCCTCGCGGACGACTGCTGGCTACCCAAAATAAAACATAAATACCGGCCAGCAGCCCCTCACGGACGACTGCTGGCTTACCAAATAAAATACAAATAAAAGCAGGCCTGTTCCTCTCTCCATCATCCACTCCGTCGCTCCCCCTTTATGGCTCCGCTCCTTCGTGAGAGATGCGAGACCGGTGTGCTTCGCAGGTGCTGCTCATTAGCAATCGCAACACCGGCCTCGCGACTTTCTCTCACGTCCCTCGGCCGTCCTGCTCACCACAAGAGGTTTTACTTTAACATTGGACTGAACTGATTGTCTGGGTGTTACTGAGGTGTTCTGCTGTGTTTCTATACCAAAGTTTGTACAATGTGTCATATTGAAACAACATGAGTCAAAGGTGTGTCTGTGATAACAATAAAACAATAATTCGTGTTCTCTGAATTACAGCTCAAACACCAAAGCAGGTGGTGACACGATACAGAAAAATTATACTTATACGATACTTCAACCCTTCTGTAGAGGAGGGACAATGTCAGCGGCTTTCAAGCATGTTGGGGTGGACCCCAATACATCGTGGTCTATGCTCCAATCACAGAGCTGTACATCGCTAGCAAATTTAAAGAACTCCTTAAAAACCTCAGCAGTCAGGACAATGTGCCGCTGCAATTCAAGAGGATCCAGCTATAGAAGGTACTATCAAAGCCTTTAAGGCGTCCGGGAAGCTGCTGCCCCTTAAAACAAAAATGAACTGACCTAGGATCTGGGGAAGGTTTCACACTGTATCAGACTAAATTGTTCACGATCAGCATTGCTGCTTTCGAATGTTTTAAAGTTAGTACTTGGACAGTTACACTTAAATATTTTAATATATTATTAATGTTTTATTTTTTTTATTTTTTAAAAGTTGTATTTTTGCACTGGTTAATTGTTATTTACATCCTGGTCCTGGGGACCCACAGCTCTGTACAATTTATATGTCTCCTTTATCTGACACACCCAGTTCAGTGGGCTTTATGTCCAGCTGCACTACTTCCTGAACTTCAGCCAGCTCCTTGTTTCCTGTCTGCCATTATTGGCCAAATTGATTAGTTCAGGTGTGCTTGACCTCAGTAGTCATGGCAACAATAATCAGACACACCTGAATTAATCAATTTGGCCAATAATGGCAGACAGGAAACAAAGTTCAGGAAGTAGTGCAGCTGTGCATAAAGCCATGTGACGTCACACCACTGCGTTGCCATGGCGCGAAATGCAGATGGAGGGCAGGAAGTGATTTTCTATATTTAGGAAGCACTATAACAAACTCAAAATGCCTATGTTTGGCGTCGTTTATGGTTGCTCAAATCGATCAAACCACGAGGAGTTTTTATCGTGTGCCAAAAGCTGTTGTTCATAAGGGGGGAAAATACAAGAAATTGACAGAAAAACACCGGGGAAAATGCCTTGCAAACCTACGTCTGCGGTCGGGAGGAGCCGAATGGGAAAATGCCTGTGTGTGTACAGTGATCACTTCGTCAAATGTGAGTTGATACATTATTTTTGTGGCTTATTATAATTACATTATTCAGGTGTTTAAATACACTTAACGTGTAATGTTTCCGAACTTTGTAAAGTCAAAGTATGTCTGTAATACGAGTTAGTTGCTGATATCTACAGGCAAATCTCTCAATTCAGTTGAAAATCGGTCATCTTCATAACGTGAGGATCACGTCCAACATATGTTTCGATTTTCTGTTTATATATGTCTCTTGTAATAGCATCTAAAGTAGTACAGTACGGATTTTCCTCCATCTCGTCCATTGCGCTCTGCACTCCTTGCCCTCCATCTGCATTCCGCGCGTCAACACAATCACGTGACTGCAAACCACCTTTTCAGAGCTCTGTCTTAACGAGATGATGATCTGAATCAGGTGTGTTAAATGAGGGAGATGTACAAACTGTGCAGAGCTGTGGGTCCCCATGACCAGGATTGGGAGACCTAGTTTAATTTTACTGCACAGTTATGTTTTTTGGAGAGCTATGGGGAATTTTTATTTTCTATAATATCACAGAGATTTATTCGTTATTTTATGTCAAATGTACAGTTTTATTTTTTGCATTGTGAAATAAATATTTCTATGTTCTGTATTACTGAGTTGTGTTTGTTTCCTTTTTCTGTTGAGAATATAACTTAGCCTTTAAATATCCTTTATAAATGCTTTAAGGTATAAATTGTCCTCATGTTAGATGACACAAAAATAGTTAACTGACTACAACTAAATGCTTTATAACTACCTGAATTAACGCTGAATTACGGCATAAATACACGTTAATAAAGCACAAAGTTGCCATCACTATATGGCTGAATAATAAGATGTATGAATGTACATTTAAATCGTTTATTAGTCACTTACTTAAAGTAATATATATGAACCACTGACAACGCCTAAATAATTGGATTGTAAATAATGAAATACTTCATTTATAAATGATCAATTGATCATTAATAAAGTATGAAAATTTATTAAACGCATTGTTTATGCTTATAAATGTTTATGCTTGTTTGCGTATAAATCAAGAATAAAGCATTTATAGCTGTATTTATAAACTGCTTATTAATGTCTATTAATGCTTTATAAATGAAGAATTAACTGTTTACTAATGCTTAACTAATAATTAATAGTGTGCAGTTATTATAATATTTATAATATTATAATTTAAAATCTAAATATTTCAGTAACACTTTAAAGTGTTACTGAAATATTTAGATTTTAAATTGAGCTAATATTGTATTATAATGTTTTCTCAAATTGGTTACCAATCAAGAAAGACATTACTTAGATATTACACAATTGGCACAAGTCAATCATTGAATGAACATTAAAAAGGCTATTAAAGTGTAGTTTGTTTTATTTTTCATTTTTGTTGAACCTAATATCACTGCACAAATAATAAGGGTTAATTCACTGGCATAATTACTAATGATGCATAACTCTTTATCTCACAATTAGCAGGTGAACAGACTCCAGATGATTCCTACGAGATGGAGGACAGGGTTTCTTTTTCGGAAGATGAGGACAAGTTGGACACATTTCTCAATACTTAGGTCACTTTTTTAAAACTCTTCACACAGTTCTCCAAATCAGTGCTCGGCACAGCAGTTCATTTCACTTTCAAAATGCAGTAAAACTACACTTAATCACTTCAGACTTGTTTTAAATCAACACATTCTTCCATCACACTTGCAAAGGTTGACCGACAACAAACACACTTTGTCACCCACAAAACAATGACCTAAAAAACTGTAAAGACAACTGACATTGATAGTTTAAAATAATGTGTATTTAAGGGGCCATGCAGGCAGTCCAATTTAGCTCAAAATGAATTAGCAATTAATTTATAGGGAATCTTAACAGAATCAGATCACTTACACGGCCGAGCAAATGACTCATCCAGCGTTCATTCGAACGGGCCATAACTATAACCTCTGCAGCGGATATAAATATCCAAACTAGTGAAACACTATTCATTAGCAAGGTAACTTAGATCAGCAGTTTAAGACATTAAATCTGTAAGCACATAACAAAAGACAATTATCTTTCAAATATAAACAAGATTTTATTGATAATTCTAACACATAAAACTAATATCTAGGCTACTATATCACACGCACACACACATTCATAAGAATTGCAGAAAGAAAGAGAGTGAGGAAAGAATGAGTTTTAAAGGGTTAGTTCACCCAAAAATGAAAATTAAGTCATTAATTACTCACCCCCATGCTGTACCAACCCCGTAAGACCTTCGTTCATCTTCGGAACACAAATAAAGATATTTTTGATTGAATCTGAGAGCTGGATCACTCTTCCATAGACAGCCTGAGGGACTGCCTCTTGACGGCCCAGAAAGTCATTAAAAGAAAAGGTTTAAATATTCCATGTGCCTACAGTGGCTCAACTATAACTTTATCAAGCGACGAGAATACTTTTTGTGCGAAAAAAAAACGTAAATAACGACTTAATTCGACTATTCCATTACTTCCTTATGGGCGCATGCGCGAGAACTGAGACGAGACCGTTCTTCTTCGACTACTTCTTGTTACCGGCTGCTCACCGCGTAGGAGTTTTACCGCCCCCTACCGTATAAGATGACGTACTGCTTGTAAACAGAACGTTTTGCGCCTCCGGCTATATCAGTACGTCATCTTATACGGTAGGGGGTGGTAAAACTCCTAAGCGGTGAGCAGCCGGTAACAAAAAGTAGTCGAAGAAGAACAGTCTCGTCTCAGTTCTCGCGCATGCGCCCATAAGGAAGTAATGGAATAGTCGAATTAAGTCGTTATTTACGTTTTTTTTTCGCACAAAAAGTAGTCTCGTCGCTTGATAAAGTTATAGTTGAGCCGCTGTAGGCACATGGAATATTTAAACCTTTTCTTTTAATGACGTTCTGGGCCGTCAAGAGGCAGTCCCTCAGGCTGTCTATGGAAGAGTGATCCAGCTCTCAGATTCAATCAAAAATATCTTTATTTGTGTTCCGAAGATGAACGAAGGTCTTACGGGGTTGGTACAGCATGGGGGTGAGTAATTAATGACTTAATTTTCATTTTTGGGTGAACTAACCCTTTAAGAGTGAGACGGTGAAATCCCAAGTTTCTATGTGCACTTATAAGACATGACCTGAATGAACCATCAATCCTTAATTTAACCCTTCTATCGTTTGGGTTATTCAAATTTTATCTCAAAGCACCTGTTCAGTTAAGAGTCTGGAGTGCTACTTGCTTGTCCTTGCGTTGCTTTGGGGATTCCCTCTTCGTCAGCATAAAAGGGTGTTTCCACGGTTGGGTTCGTTGTTTGGCGATCTCCTTGTGCTTGGATAGATGTCTCTGGGCGGCCAATCACGTGATGTGTTGGCGGATAGATGAAAGTCTTTTGAAGTTCGAAGCGCTTTGCAGTCGGAACGTGTTACCAAAACTTTGCAGCAAAACTTTACTCAGAATCGAAACTCTCACGGAAAAGAAAGAAAACTAAGACCAGAAAGAAAAATGAGACGATAGTAGGCAATAGATGGAAGCTGTTTAACCCATGGAGGTTCTCCTGATCTTGTTTGGGTTCTTTGTCTGCTGGTCTACATTGTTACTGGTCTGTCCGGTTACTTCTGTAACTCTAGCACTTCTCTCGCATAACTCTCAGACAACTCTAAGATAACTCTAGTCTAAAGCAACTCCCCGATGCTTTATTCAGGTCGAGGATTTTTAACTCAAAGGTTTGTCCAGCCTCCTAGAGGAGTTCGGACCAATTACACTTCCTTCAGCTCTCATCGTAAATCATGCTTTATCTGGGATCCCCTTACTCTACAGCTTTAGCAGAGAGAGTACAGAAGATACAGTTTAGACATGACACTATTATAATAAGAACACAAAACATTTTACACAGATTTCACTCAAGCCATTTTCTGAATTAAGAACATATGATCTTACTGATAGGAAACATGATACACTTTCATTCACACATCTAATAGTTAAAACAATAACATGACTTACATATGATATAAGCATAATAAACACGTAAAGAGATTGTAGATACAATATAGGATTATGTAGTTGAGCGATGTTTTATTATAAGTCCGTCAAGAAATGTTTTGGGATGATTTTATGTAATTTTATATGTAAGTCTCTGTCTCTGTGGTTTTAAGAGATTTCAACCCTGGGGTCGTTCTGGGGTCCTTTAGAAGGAGTTGGTCTGTTTTAAATCCGTTCTCTTTGGATCAAAGAATCTCTGCTGTTATCTTGGTGGGTCCTGAGCTTTGCAATCACTGACCCAATCAGGGTCAGTGATTCCCGGAGCCGGCAATTAGCTTTATGCCCAGCTGCACTACTTCCTGAACTTCAGCCAGCTCCTTGTTTCCTGTCTGCCATTATTGGCCAAATTGATTAATTCAGGTGTGTCTGATTATTGTTGCCATGACTACTGAGGTCAGGTACACCTGAATTAATCAATTTGGCCATTAATGGCAGACAGGAAACAAGGAGCTGGCTGAAGTTCAGGAAGTAGTGCAGCTGGGCATAAAGCCCATTACTGGAGCCGGGATCTTCATGGTAAGAATGTTGATTTT